TGCAAGATTGAAATTAGCTTCAATTCTTCATAACCTCTGAATAGTGGGTGACCCAATGGGTCACGGATTGTCTAGTTTCAAATAAAGATGTCACAGAGGAGAAAAAGCTGAACCATAATTACAATTCTAATTATTACAACAAATGGAATTATGCAATGAGTGAAATCAGAATGGAGACACTATCTTACCCAGATTTCAAGAAAAAAACTATAAGGCACAACATAAATAGGGAACATGAAACTTTTCCTTTGAGCTTACATTCATTCACTAGAATAAGAACCGTCCAAGTAATATCCTCACAAGGAAAGACAGTGACTATCTAGTTAAAGGATTTTCTTGCTTGTCCTCATTTGACTTATGGACAGATTTAACATTAACATTTTCCTAAACTAAAAATGTATTTGCTATAGATAATTACCTCCAATTAAGTTTTCTTAACTTATACTGCCCTCTATATGTGCAAATTTTCACTCGCCACTAACCTTAATACTCTCACCTACCCTTACATGCATTCATGCGAGACATCTGCAGTGCTATCATGTAAATCATCATGAAGCAACCCTTTGCTAATAGGAGTGTGACACAACTCCTATTGTCACTAGCATCCTCTTTTCTGTGCAGCCCATAATCACTTCAAGATTGGGCAGTACATACAGACCAGCATTGGAAGTGAAGAGGATGGGTGGGAAATGTGAGAAGTAAGTATTTATCAGTATTTATCAGTTTAGGAAAATGTTAACTTTCAAAACAATATTTTACGTCCTCTCACAAATAGCTAGAATCCCACATTGAGTTGGTGGAGGGTCTGGTGAGAAGACAAATCCCCCTTTAGATAGCACTCAAGGGAAGACCATGGGGAGTGTAAATAAATGGTAACCAACACCCCCATGGGAGACCACACCAATTCTGAGCAAGGTATACCACCCACGTGTCACAATAAGAGCTGAAACAATGGAGGGACCTCCCCAGCTTAATCATGTTTGCACATTTAACCTGACCATCACCATATCTGCTAGGAACCAACATTAAGGGGATGGTAGGAAGGTGGAAAGCAAAATGGGGTGCATCTCCAGTCCATCACCAGGCAACATTGGGGAATGTATCATCCAGTCCACAGTAGGAGGAGGGTACCCAGCCATACACATATGTGAAACTAAGGGGCCCTAAGTGTAGATTGGCTATGGCACATTGGACCATAAATGGGAGATTGATCTCAATCAATACCAAGCAAACCATGATAGGGATATCCAGCCTATGATAGGAAGAGAGTCCTCTATCTTTCACTTCTGATACAGGAACTGGTATGGAAGATATGTCTCTGTACCAAGGATCTGCTTCATCATGTGCACACATCTAATACAACCATCACCATATCCACCAGAAAATGATATCTGAGGGATGATAGAAAAATGGACAGCAAAGTGGGGATGCATCCCCAGTCTATTACCAGGCAGCACTGAGAGTGTATCATCCAATCTGTGGTAGGAGGAGGTTAATTGCCCACACACATGTGAGGCTGGTCCAGCTCCAACTGTTACCATATCCATTGGGAACCAATATCTGGGGGATAGTAGGAAGGAGGGTGCCTCAGCCAGAGGGGCAAACTGCATGTTCATGGAATGCATCATCCAACACCTGATGGCATCTGGAATTGTACTTCAGGTCTGCAGTAGGAAGAGTGTCAACAACATCTACACTGGCAGAACACCACCACTCTATGTTCAACTAAGTGGGATTGAGCATACTCAGGAGGAAGCCTCCATGGTCCACCACCACAGTGGTTAGGAAATTGTAAGTGGCAAAGAATTCCATATTCCACTAGAAGAAGGGGAAAACAGCATGTTGGAGAGTCCAGAGGAATGCTGCACTGGAGACAGTGCAATGGGTGACTACAACACTTTATTCTGAAAAGCAGTCCAATCCTGTGACCTACAATACATGGTTCCTCTGGGATGGGCAGTAATCCCTGTCTGCTTTACTCATGTTAGTCCATGAGTGTACAGGTAATACTTGCTACTAAGTGGGATCCAACTATGCAACAAAAACCCTTTCAAAGAAAAAAAAGGAGCACTTACCCACTCAAAGAGATATTGTGGAACACAAAATAACAATGGAAAGAAGATTAAACCCCGTAGAAGAAGAAATGGCTAGGTGGTGAAGATAATGAGCAGTAAAGGTATGAGGAATGGTCCACATACCAGCACTAATGATCTCCTCCAACAGATAAAAGAAATGAGCAGCCAGGGACATGGTAAGGTGACGAATTTGATGGGAAGATACACGGAAAAGACAACAACCATCAGGAAAAAGGGAAGAATAAGCCAGGCAAACCAACTTGGAAAAGGTCCCAGGACTAGGAAGTATTCAAAGGAATAAGCAA